GTTTTCATTTCCCTTGGGTACCTGGAGTAGGATTGTTGGGCCACATGCTAAGGGTATGCTTAATTTATAAGAAACTGCCAAACTGTTTTCCAAAGTGGCTGTAACATTTTACAGTTCCATTAGCAAATCTCAGCGTCCCAGCTGCTGCGCATCTTCATCAGCACAAGTCCTTTACTGGTCATTCTAGTGGATGTGCAGTGCAACTGCACTGAGGCTTTACATTTTCATGACTGCTGATCTGAGCATCTTATCATGTGCTCATCAGCCTCATATATTTTGTGATTCTGATAGAGAATGTTCAGAGACCCTATTCTTTTCTCAAACACCTATTTTTATTTTTATTTTTATTCCTGAGACAGAGTCTCACTGTCATCCTCAGTAGAGTGCAGTGGCGTCACAGCTCCCAGCAGCCTCAAACTCTTGGGCTCAAGTGTTTTTCTTTGTCGCATTCTCCCAAGTAGCTGGGACTACAGGTGCCCACCACAACATCTGGCTATTTTTAAAGACAAAGTCTTGCTCTGGCTCAGGGTGGTCTTGAACTCCTGGGCTCAGGCAATCTGCTCACCTCAGCCTCCCAGAGTGCTAGGATTACGGGTGTGAGCCACCATGCCCAGCCCTACACACCTGTTTTATATACAGAGAATTGTACAGTATGTACTCTTCTGCATCTGGCTCCTTTAGCTCTGTGTGTTTTAAAAAGTCATGATGCTGCATGTATCAGTAATTGCCTCCTTTGTACGGATATACACAATTTGTTTATCTGCCTAGAAACAACCATATATAAGTGAGCCTTTTTTTTTTTGTTTTTTGAGACAGAGCCTCAAGCTGTCGCCCTGCATAGAGCGCTGTGGCATCGCAGCTCACAGCAACCTCCAACTCCTGGGCTCAAGTGAGTCTACTGCCTCAGCCTCCCAAGTAGCTGGGACCACAGACGCCCACCACAACACCCGGCTATTTTTTGGTTGCAGCCATCATTGTTGTTTGGCAGGCCCAGGCTGGATTAGAACCCACCACCTTAGGTGTATGTGGCTGGCACCTTAGCTGCTTGAGCCACAGGTGCCAAGCCCAAGAGCGAGGGTTTAAAAGTGATAATTGAAATGGAGAATTTTAGAGTTTCCCTTGAACTTCATGGAAAAACCTCAAAATACAGAAAAATTGAAAAAAATGACAACACCCATATGACCTCTACTTAGATCTAACAACTTCTTGACACATTTGCCCTTTATTTATATGAATATGTTGAGCTATATCAAATTATTGAACCATTTGAAAGTTGCAGACATCCATATGTCACCTGTAAATACTTCAGTGCACATCTCCTAAGAATACTACTGTACGCAGTTTCAATTTCACCATTACACTAGGATGATATTCAACCCACACGCCAAATTCCCCAGTTATCCATACACTGTCTTTTCAACACAGATTCAATCAGGATTCAAACACTGTTACTGGTTATCTCTTTGGGCTCCTTTATATTTCATTACATAATAGATTTTAACAGATTTCAAGAAATTTTTATCAAACTTTCTGAAAAATGCTAATTCAGGAAACCAAAAATTGCAACTTAGGTATCCTAATTTGGGTAACTATAGACTTTTCATCTGTTATTCTCAACCTGAGAGACAGGTAATGTGAGAAACAGACTGTGATAAAAGGCTTTGTGGAAATGGAATGGTTCTGTAGTTACTCGCTTCATTCATTTTGGCCTTTTTTCTTCCTTCCCTGGATGTTTCTGCTGCTCCCTTCTGGCCACTCCCAGCCCAGATATACTTATCACAATATAATGCCAGGAAGAGCCTTTGCCTTAAAATGAAAAAGATGCCAGCTGACTCTGTTCTATCTTCTGATTAGTGACTATGTGTAGCTCAGCTTTCTCCTCTAGAAAATGGACATGATTATGGTGCCTGCCACAAACCACAGGATTGTACAAATCAAAGGAGATCATGTAGATTAATGTGTTTGAAACAAGGGACTTCTTGAATTCATTACACACTCACTGAGCATCTACTGTGTAGGTCTACATGCCAGGAACAGGGACGTGAGAAAAAGGTTGCCCAAAGCTTCTGGGAAAAGATGTTTGCTCTGAAGCTAGAAGATGGAATGGTTTCTCTTCATATGGATATAAGGTTCAGGTGCTAACCCAAAGATGCAGCTGGCATATGTAACTTGATCACATTAGCCAATAAAGTCCCTTCATTGTTTTAAGGCCAGGGAACTGGATTTGCTGTTGTAGGTAGCCAATAGCATCCAGAGACAGGAGTGAACTTCATTGGGGATCTGGAGAGCCAGTCTCCCAAAGGAGCGTCAAGAGCAGATTTTGGTGCTGGCACCAGCCTCTGGCTTCTATTCATTTCTGGAGCCTTGTTTGACTTGCTTGCCCAACTCTGTATCAGTGCCCTGTGGTTAGCCTACACCCTGCTATGCTGACCATTTGCCTGATTGCCAGACATGCCTGCAGACCCTGAACCTCCAACACCCTGATGTTTCTGCAGGTACTTTAAAACATACAGGTGCACCTTACAGTTTAGAAGTATCTCCTGCTGGCCCCAGAGCCTCCAAGGCCCTGCTCAACTGTGGCCACAGCACTACTCTGCTGGCAGACCCCTACCAGCCCCCCTTGGTCATCCTTCGGCATGAAGCCATATTCTCGGCCCTCTTCAGCCCTGTCTAACTCCCCTGAGACAGGGATTATTTTTTCAAATAAGAACAGGCAATGAGATGAAAATGATTGTGAAAGGGCAACTTTATATTGCCTTAGGAAATTTTAATTGTTAACAGTGAAGATATAATAAAATCACAATGTAAACTGCTTTGTTTTCTCAGATTAAAAAAATGGCTGTTATTCAAAATACTTAAGTCAAAATAGCATGTTGTGGCAAAGAAGTTCTGAAGGTTCTTGGCTGTGCCAGACATCAAACTTGAGGGGCGGGAGAATGGCCTTAGGTTGGAGGAAGGCACTTAAGCAGCTCAGGACAATAGCTAGTTACCAAGTAAAAGGACACATTTCAATGGTTAGACTTGGTGTATAACTGTAACAGCTCAATGTCTACCTTAAATATGTGTTTGTTTGTTTTTTTGAGACAGAGTCTATGTCACCCTCAGTAGAGCACTGTGGCATCACAGCTCACAGCAACCTCAAACTCTTGGGCTTAAGCGATTCTCTTGCCTCAGTCTCCCAAGTAGCTGGGACTACAGGCACCCACCATGATGTCTGGCTATTTTGTTGTTGTTGCAGTTGTCATTGTTGTTTAGTAGGCCTGGGCCAGGCTCAAACCCACCAGCCTTGATGTATTTGGCCAGCACCCAACCCACTGAGCTACAGGCACTGCCCAAGATTTTTAAACTATGCAACGTTTACTTGGATTTTCAAGTTAACCTATCGACATTTATTTTAATAATAATTATGACATTTATTTGAAAAAAACTTATGTAGATGGCCATTACCTTAAAAAAATTTTTTTTTTTTTTTTTTAGACAGAGTTTCTGCTGCCTTAACTTTGGCATCAGCCTAGCTCACAACTTCCAATGCCTGGGCTCAAGTGATCTTTGGGCCTCAGACTACAGGCTTGTACCGCACCCAACTAATTAAAAGTTTTCTGTAGAGATGGGGGGGTCTCACCATGTTGTCCAGGCTGGTCTCAAACTTCAGGCCTCAAATGATCCTCCTGACTTAGAGTCTGTGGAAACTGTAATGAATGTATGCTTGTCTGTGGCTCAAAAGGCCAGTGCTGAAAGATATTAACCTACTAAAATAGACACTTAAAATGGAACATGGAAAAGATAAAAGTTAACATTGGTTTTAGGCTTAATAATCAGAAGTAAAGTCTTAAGTCTACTTAAAAATGGATGCTTTTCCCTTCAATTTCAGTTGCCGCTGATAAAACTCAAATGGGAGCTCTGGGGGACTGCTCAATGACAGCAAAACTAAAGAGGCTTTACCTGAAAGTAAAATCACTTAGACATCCCCAGGGGGTCAAATGTTTTTGCAAATATGACTAAGCTTAGTTTTCTACTTCAGTCACCAGCTAACAAGTAAGTACCCTGACTATCCTGCCTCAACGATTATTATTTACAATGTGGACTTCTTATCCCACAGTCTATATACCATTAAGTATCCAAGAAACATAATTTTTTTTTTAAACATTTTTTTTTTTTTTTAAATGGGATCACTCATGAGAAGCCTCACGTACCTTAAGTGACCCACCACGCTACACGGCCCTGGATGGTGGTGTGCTTCCCTGGTTACATTGCCCCAATGACAGGAGGGTAGCCTAGACCACCTAGAAATCACAACTGTAGTACCAGCTGATAATACAGACATGGTACTGCTATACGTATTCCATTTCAATTACACAAATGTAATGACACGTATTTTTCAAGTGTTTTTAGAGTTCAATCTCTAATTCCAGGTATACCACTAACTATATTGGGTCCAGTCCCAAACATCCTTCCTTCACTTACCAGCTAACTCTTTTAACCTTATTCTACACCCCAACATACTAAATCCCAAGTGCTTATAAGGATTAACAGGCTACCAGGAATAAAGCAGATATAAAACAATTAATTCCTCAGCACCCAAAAACAAAAGGGAAATGGGCCACTTATGCAAATGGGACTCTCAAATTAAACTCCCTATAAACTGAATGCACAGAACCAAATATGGCAGCAAACTTTCAGCTAATGCCACATCAGGAGCTCGATGTGTGTCCCTTTTCAATGTAAATCTGATTCTTACTGGGAAGCCTTGCGCTCTATGTTCTCACTCACACATACATAGAGGCAACAGTCTCTCACAGAGAATCTGTCAAACTTCAGGACCTAAAGACATGAATAGTTCTTGAAAGTTAATCTTAGTTAAGTAAGCTCACAGATATAATTTCATGATTTAATGAATTTGTGTTCATTTTCTACAATCACACAAGATACCTGCCAACTACTGTTTAAGTCTCTAGTGGGTATATAGCTCTTCAATGCAGAAACTTAGTCTCTTGTGTTGGTTACATATACACTGTTTTTATTTAAATTTGTTGAATGAGAAGAAAAACAAACAAAATGCCCCAATTTCTTCTGCAGGTCCAGTTCTCCTCTACAGTGGCTGGAATACAGTCAGCAAGGGGCCCAGGTGGAGCAATAGTTCATCTGGAATCTTTGCGAGTATTTCCTTTAGTGCCTGGCACAGTAAGGCACCATTAATCATGTAACAGAATACAGGAAATGTCCACAGCACACAGATCTAGTGACAATGTACTAGACAAGTTAGTTTGGTAATGGTGGTGGTGATTGTTTCTTTCATTTTATTATTATTTTTTTACAATAAGGGTGTAGTCTTTATACTCCACACACACAAAATAAAACAAGTGCTTATTACGAAAGAGTCCCTGCCCCCACCCCCTGCAGAACATCCTGAACATAGCAATTCAATAGAACAGAAAAATCAAGACAAGTTTGATTTCAAAATTTCAATAAAAAGCAAAAAGTATGTAATGCAACAGCTGTTCAACTTCCAACTCTAAATAGGCACCGTTAAACAAACACAAAACCCCAATATTATCCATTTCTCCAGCACACATTCCAGTATAAATGCTCTGAACTGTAATCAGCAAGTTAATGGGAACAGAATCTTTGAACAGAAGCTATATTGCTTCCCTGTCCCCTTTTCTCTAAGGATTGGAGGGTGCAGGTATTCAGGGATACAAAAGTTAGAGGAAGAATAATTAAAAAGAACAATTGCCAAACTGCTGCTGTTTGGACTGGAAAGGAAGACAGCATTTTACAAATGTTCAGAAAATCCCAAGGCAAATAACACAATTTGTTCACTATCACTCCTACTTGAAAGAATAAAGAGATCAGTGTCTTATTATATAAAACGGTACTTTCAGAATGGTATTATAGGTTCACCAGAAACTATGGATGTAGTTTTAGGCTTCAACAAGGAAAACAGGTTCAGTTCAGATCAACTTAGATACTGTCCATCTAGCCTAGCTGGCTCGGTGTTGGGATCTGCTCACTGTCACCCTGAACAGCTGTAAACTAAACAATGTATGTAACTCCACGGGAAGCTTAAGGATTGAAGATATGTACACCGCTAGTTAGATCTCCCCTGCTTCACGCTCTTCAGAGCTCCGCCTGTCTTCTGATCTGCCATTAGCACTCTCATAGGACCGCTTCTTATCTTTTCGATCTCTGTCACGAGGTGATCTGTCTCTTGAACTCCTGTCTCTGTCACGTGATGCTAAGTCTTGGTCTCTGAATCTTTCTTTTGAGGATCTGAAAAATATTAATTTGAGGAGCAAAATATGGTGGGAAACCCAAAACTCCAAAATAAAAAAAATAGGATAAATGTTAAGATGTTGACAGCTGAAGATATATATACCCAAGACAGAAGAGTCAGTTTTCGGAGAGAACAGAGCACTACTGTAGTGATAAGGAACTCAAACCAGAAGATGGGTAAAAACAAATGGCTGAGGGGTCACAAAGGAGAAGCCAAAATCATGACCTACCGGATGCTCTCATTATCGCAGAGACTACCACAAAGCTTTTCCAGTTCATAAAAAGGGTATGTAATCGCTTGTATTAAATTTTTTTTAAATTGAATATAGATTCCAAATTGGAGAGAAATCAGTAATTTAGAACAGAGGTCAGCAAGCCTTTTCTGTTTGATGTCTGGCCAGATAGCAAATATCTAAGGCATTGTGGGTCACGTTCAGTTTCTGTGTTAGTATGATTTTCTTTTTATCAACCTTTAAGAATGTAAAAACCATCCATAGCTTGCTGGCTGTACAAAAACAAGACTTCAGGACAGATTTGGCCTGTAAGTAATAGTTTGCCAACACCCAACTTAGATAACAGAACTACTTGATTAATAATATGGCTTAAATAACCATTTATTTATTATTTCAAAAATCTGCTTCACCACTCTTGTGTTAGTTCATTCCACGGGGTGGGGGGACAGAAGACAGAAAAATGCTCACACTGTAATAAATCTTGATTAATTTTTACCTACTCCGTTCCCATTCTCAATTTGGATAAGAAACATAAATAACCAAAAAAAGTCTTATCAGAGATTCAATCAGAAGGAAAACCAAAGTATATTATGGGATCAGAATAAATATGGAATCTTCTATACTTTCAACATCTAGAATGAATCAGTAACATACATGTAGTATTATCTATTTGGTTCTTTTACTTAACCCATGCTCGGAATTAGGATCTGTGGCATTGCTAAGAATCTTGAATAATACCATGAGGAAAAAAATAAAAATACTACTACCTTTAGTTTTAGAAATGTAGTTGAGGGTAAACAAAAGACTAAAAGATTAAATAATGTCAACTTTGAGCATTCTACTTAAGGATTTAATATTTATTAATAAAAAATGTGTAAAAAAACCCCCACAATATGAGTCTTGCAATTTCAAGTCTATACCAGCCCTACCCACAACCTTTGTAGGAGTAGACTATGCAGATATGATAGAAATGATGCCTAAGAATAAGGACAGATGCTGGTAGGTCTCAAAGGTCAGTAATAATAACTGAAATAAAACTATTAGATGAAGTCAACTAATGTTTTGTGTGAGATTACAATGTTCCACTTAGAAGCAGTTTCCATATACAATTTTACTTAAACACCAATAATCCTAATAAAACAGGTACTCTTACTATTTCTACTTAAATGGGGAAAGACAAGTAGAAAAATAAGTTACTTGGCCAAGGTCACGAACCCAAGTAGTCTGAGGTCTGCACTATACATGTTTGAATAGAGCACAAAGAAGAAAAGCTGTCAATACATGGTCCTTGTTTGCCAGGAAAAGATCACAAAAGGACAATCTACTTATACCAGAGACCAGTATTTCACAATGGTTAGGAGAAAAGAATAACATAAAAGACTTTTAACTGGAATTTGTACCTAGAAAAATTAAACCCAAATAGGTTATCAGTAACGTGTCATCTTAGGTAATCACACATAGTTTTAATAGCAATGATCTGCTAACTTTTGGTAAAAACAACAATGCTTTAAAAGATAATTTTAATTCAAAGATGAAAAGTGATCTTGAGAAAAGCAAAACTTTTAATAGTTTTACAAAAATAATCCTCTTTAGGAACATGCTGATATCTTAGATGTGAGGGGTGTCATGTAGTATGGTGGAAAAATTTCCCATATAACTCTGTAAGTGCAGGAAGCACTAGGGACTAAGGTAACACAGTCTCAGACAAGGGGACTTCATGCCCATCCCTCCCATCCCCACCACCAATAAAGACATTTGAGTTCACCAACACCAGAAAGAAACAATGACAGTTTGGGCAGATCAACACAAGAAATTATCTAGACTTCCCATCTAGAAAGATGATTCTCAAAATGTAGTGTGCAGGTAACACTCACAGAGAACTTTTTTAAAATGCAAATTCAGTCTCAAGAATATGAGACAAGAGACCTACACTCACTGTCCCTTATAAATTCCCTGATTATTTTCTGTATTTGCCTATCAAATACTCTATATAGAATATCTTTTTCCTGCCTAATTCTGCCTGTTCAAATTATACCCACTTTATTCAAGTTTCATCAACTACCTGAAGCCATTTCTAATTACTCTGGTATTTCCCTCATCTACACTCTTAGATCATTTATCCTATGATACACAATTTAACACTTTACAATATGTAGTCTTACAACAGTCTAATTATTGTCAAAGATGTTGGTCCTGTGTTCTAACACATATAGTGAACTTCTTAGAGCAACTTGAATAAAGTCGATCAACTAAGTTATTACCAACTTTCTAGTATGGTTAAAAAGTATACAATTCTAACTAATTAAAGACATCTTAAGGACTACTTAAGAAATAAACAAAATATTAAGAGCCTATTAACAAACTCAGCTCGTAACTTCAGGGAATAGCTAGTTGAGATTAAAAAAAAAAAAAAAAAACCACCTAAAAATTTTAACAGCTTTCTATGGACTGTATTATGGACTCTATTTAATTCATTGAAAAAGTCATTTTAATCATGGTTTATATTACACAGAAATTACCTGGTTATAGAACCATCACGTGACCCAAAAAGTTTTGGAAGCTTGGTCTGTCTATACAGACAATGAGTGCTAAATTCCTCTACCAAATTTTAATCCTTTGTCTGTTGTTAATAGGCATTCAGGTCCTTAAACATACCTTACCCTGCATCAGCACCTTTTGAGTTTTCTCATAATCCCAAAGAAGTCTTATAGCTTCCTTAAGGTTATGAATCTGCCCTGCCAAGCCAAAGGCATATAAAAATGTGTATCTATGACACAGATTAAACAAGAATATACTGGAGTATGTCTGCTCTGAAAAAGAATACCAGTTCAAATAAAGCTAGAAAACAATAAATCAAAGGCTAAATAATTATTTTAATGAAATGACTTCTCAAAGTCCCTAATTTGCTAATACATACTGAAAAAATGGTAGGGTATTGGTACCTTGCCTATAAAGAACTTTTATTAAGTAAAGACAAGCAACAACCTCTGCATACATCAATTTCATTTTTCTTACTTTGGCTCGTACGTATATTTTTTCAGAACTACCCATATAATCATGGAAAAAAGGGTTTGCACCCCCACACACATGTGTATATATTACCAAATGCCAAGTTTCAAACCAATAATCTAAGCTCTAAACATAAGTAACATAAGTAAACAGAAACAACTCTAAAACAAAAAGGTAGCTCCACATCCTCTGATCGACACATTAATACCTCCTCTTAGAGCGTTCTCTGCTCCTATCTCTAGAACTATGCCGACTTCTCTGGTGGCTGCGGCTGCGGCTGCGGCTGCTGGAGCGAGACCTGTGGCGATGGCGTTTCTCCCGAGATTTGGATCGAGTTCTCCTCTTGCGCTCCCGTGACATGGAGCGAGATCGATGTCTGCGATGCTCTCTGGACCTGGATCTATTAAGATATAATCTCATTTTTAGCTTCAACACTACATTTCTCATTTACTAAGACTTTTTATTTAAAAAGAAATTATTTCAGTAGCCTTATTGCCAATTCTACATTCCCAAATAATCTACCTTAAAATAAATTATTGGCATGTTAATAAAATAACTACATACTGAAATTTCAAAATAATAACCAAAACACTAATTCTCAGAGAACAATTAGCATTCTATAAATTTACATCAGGAATATATATAAATAAGGCAACATGGGGACCACTACTATATATGCCAGGCACCGCATTATCTAGATGCCTTATGAATTTAATTTCATTTGAATTTTTAAGATTTTTAGCATTCTTTAGAAATTAGTATGTGCCTGATAGGGACAGAATGAAGGAATATGAAAAAGAATACTATTTAGGGCGCCAGCCAAATATACCAAAGCTGGAGAGTTCAGGCCCAGACAGGCCCTGCTAAACAACAATGACAACTCCAACCTACTCCGGAGGATGAAGCAAGAGAATCGCTTAAGCCCAAGATGAGGTTGCTGTGAGCTGTGACAGAATGGAACTCTACCAAGGGCAACATAGTCAAACTCTGTCTCAAAAAAAAAAAGAATACTGTTTAGGGTAACTTACTACCTTTCTAAATTATAAAGGTTATGCAACCACAGAAATAAATTTAGATTTCCCACAATATGCCCAATGAAAGTGTAATTAAAATATGGTAAGGCAGTTCTCCATCCAAGTAGCACACAATTTAGAAGGAAAAAAACGCAAACATCATAATTGCAAAAACAAAACATGTTTCCAATGAATACACAGAAGAAGGAAAAACATTCTGAAGAAATGTGAATGAAGTGTGTGAAGGGTGAGGATGAGAAGAACATGAACATCTAACGAAAAACAAGGGGGAAGAGAGGTGAGCAGCTCTGCTCCAAGACTCACTTACAGAGTGGTGGAAATGTGCTCAATTCGATTGTAGTGACAGTTCCACAACTTTAAATTTACCAAAAATCATGGACTTTTAAAAATGAATATGTGAAGTTTACCTCAATAAAGCTGTTAAACTTCTTAAAGTTACTTTAAGAATGTGTTTTCTCATAATTTGATATGGTTAAGTTCAAAAGCACATTATACAAGTGATAGATTTACCAACTGAGTTCATTTTTAAATGATTATTTTGTTATAAATGAAGTTTAAAAGCATTCAGCTTATGTCAGTATTACAGGGACATGTCCTGGACTTAGCAACAACAGCTGAATAAAATGTTTTCAAAAAGGAGAGGGGAGAGGAATATAAATCTCTCTCAATATAAGTTTTTTCAAAGGATATTTTAAACACTCATTGTGAGCTAGCTATTATGTATCTCTTTCTTCTGATGCATACTTTTTTTTTTTTTTGAGACAGAGTCACTTTATTTCAGAACATTAAGGAAGTATAAGTGTTTTTATCACATGGATATCTTTTTTTTTTTTTTTTTGATACAGAATCTCACTATGTCATGCTTGGTAGAGTGCTGTCGCATCACAGCTCACAGCAACCTCAAATTCTTGGGTTTAAGCGATTCTCTTCCCTCAGCCTCCTGAGTAGCTGGGACCACAATGCCTGGCTATTTTTTGGTTGCAGTTGTCATTGTTGTTTAGCAAGTCTGGGCTGGGCTCGAACTTGCAGGCCTCGGTGTATGTGGCCAGCACCTTACTCACTGAGCTACAGGCGCTGAGCCACTGATTCATACTTTTATTCATTTTTTAAAACATTCTACATCCATTCAAAAACTATTTACTGGATACTTTCTGCTCCCAGTGTAACTCTCTAGTACCAGAGATCAAAGAGCAAACAAAAATCAAAGTCTTTATCTTTTCAACAAAGGGACCAGCTTATATTAATCCACCAGAAAATAAGAGTATTGTAATTTAATGTTTCTACTTCTCAACAAGGATCTGAGAAACAGTAATATAAATTAGCTGGCACAATTGGTCCCATTTATTAATAGTGTTAATTTCTTAGGGTTTTAAGCAAACATACCATTGAAATATTCTAAAAAGTACTAAGGGGCAGATAACATAAATACAAGGTTGTTTTTTGGTTTTGTTTTGTTTTGTTTCCATAAAAAATGCTCTACTTTTAGGGAAAGGTTCTTAGGCAAAAGTTAGTCTCTATAGAGTACTCAAAAGGTTTCAAAAAGAAAATGTGATCTAAATAAGAAGAATCGTAGGATTTGAAAAAGAATGAGAACAGGCAATTTGGATGGGAATGGCTTCGTGAAGAAGGCTCAATAACAGGAGTAAGAATAGCAAATAAGAATTAATAATGGAGTAGAACATGTTTCCCCAATTTTCTCAGACGGAAAAAAATTATCAGCAATTAGCAAAATCTATAAATGTTTCAAAAAGCCCCTAAATATTAACACTGAGAGTCAAAAGATGGTACCCCTTTGAAAAATGCAAGTTTCTGTAATCACTGTTCAAAGAGATTGCTCTTGAACTCATCTAAACTCATATAAAGACTGGAGCATATGTTAAATATTTTAGTCTTCTTCAACCCACAGTGAATCTCACACTCAAATTTTATCTTGTATTACCTATATATCTATCTTATCTATACTTCACAAGTGTCTTCTGACTTTTAAGTATCTTTTGAGTTTCTTCTCAAATAACAACACTGAAAACTGAGCTCCAAAACAGAATACTATTTTATTGTCTCATTCACTTTATTTATTTTTTGAGACAGTCTCATTCTTTGGCCCTGGGGTAGAGTGCCATAGCATCATCATATCTCACAGCAGCCTCAAATTCTGGGCTCAAGTGATCCTCCTGCCTTAGCCTCCCCAGTAGCTGGGACTACAGGTGCCTACCACAATGGCTGGCTAGTTTTTCTCTATTTAGTATAGACAGGGGTATCTCTCTTGCTCAGGCTGATCTCAAGTGATCCTCCCACCTTAGCCTCCCATAGTGCTGGGATTACAGGTATGAGCCAGCACACCCAGTCAAATGTCTCATTAATTTTTACAAGCTATTTAATCTATAAAAACTACCTTTGAAAAAAACACATGCTTCACTACTTACACCTGTCTTGTGTAATACCTACCTTTTGGGATTCTTGCTATGTGATCGGGACCTAAAAAAAAGAATACCCATTTTTAGAAAAGTGACCATGAACAAATCAAAAACCGTGTGCTAGTGCAATGTGCTGTTAAATTTTATTACTCTTGATTACTAATTTTTATATTAATGTTATAAATATAAAGCATGTGCTAATGAGCACAATGTTTTCCAAAATGCACCAACTCTAAGATCACCACATTGCCAGGGCTCCCTTAGTTCAGAATACTCAGTTTTTTGTTTTGTTTTTTTTTTTTGAGACAGAGTTTCATTTTGTCACCCTCAGTAAAGCACCATGCTGTCATAGCTCACAGCAACCGCAAACTCTCCCACACAAGCAACCCACACTTCCTCTACTTTCTCTTCACATACAAATATGAAAGTACAGTCCTTCAAAGATTTTTGTTCTAATTTGACTGTCACCTCAGCTGAATCTTAAACTGAGATTTCCAATGTTACCTAAAATGTCATTTATTTCAAGTGAAAGTTTTCTATTATTAAAACAGTATCATTTACATAGACTTAAATATTAGAATACTGGGCAATATTACCATAAAGTTTTAGTGTACATAAAAAAGAAAGACCTATTCTCATACTACACATATAAACGGTTTTAATTAGTTTAAGCACATCTGCCAACTCTGAAGATTCAGAGATATGTAGTAAGACTAAAGGAATATTGCAAATTAGAACTATAGGCAAATCCTTTGATAAGCCTGTTCATCCTAAAGTTGTTAAAGAAGTTATAAAGTTACAAAGAATGTTACCATCACAATGCTATGCTATAGATGCCACTGGGTAAAAAGTGACTCAAAAGAATGTTGAGACATTCTAAATATGAATAATTATGATTTGCTCAGTTAATGAATACTAATAATATAACCAGAATGTGTACATTTAGCCTCTATTAAATTAATGAAATTTTTATGGTTTATGGCTTCTAGAATTGAGGAAAGGAAGAACCAAAGTAAAATGTATAAAAAAATTAATGGAACAAAAAAACCCTGAAACTTTTTATCAACATGTGTAATATGCATCATAAAAACAAAAACAGTTCTATGCCAATGTAGGGTACAAATCTAGCCCAATCTGAAAAATTAAAGAGCTAGAAAAAGGTTTGTTATAAATTTTATAAGACAAGGATATGAGGCATTCTTTATTCACTCTTTCACACATTTTGAAGGAAATCATCTTCAGCTAAATAGTTAAGAGTTAATATATTTCTATAATTACTAATATATACTTGTATAATCCGCATGGTAGTATTTTTTAAGTCAGCATAAAACTCATGTGTTGCATAACAAATTTATTAACATATAATACTTTATATCAATAGTATCTTTTTCTAGAAACAAGGAGATTCAACTTCAAATACTTGGACCATTGCTCCATACCTCCTCAGCTTCTCCCTTTCTTCTCTCTCCCTTTCTTCTCTTCGTTTCAGGCGTTCTTGGTTTCTTTTCTCCTGCTTCTCAGCTACAACTCTCTTAAAAATGATATAATAAATGAGAAGTGTTATTTATTGGGTCCAACCTTAATTAAGCTTTACCCTTAATTTTAACATATCTGGTTTCCAATACAGTACAATTACTATCAAAATCTATTTAAGGATGGGTATGGAATAAAAACTACTGAGGACAGTGAAGAATATTCTGGTGAAGGGCACACCACTCCTGACTTAAGCATTATACAAGATATCCATGTAGGCTTGGACACACAGTTCAGTGGTGAGGGTACCAGCCACATGCAATGGGGCTGGTGGGTTTGAACCCAGCCAGGGCCTGCTAAACAACAACAGCAAAAATAGCCGGGCATTGTGGCAGGCACCTATAGTTCCAGCTACTTGAGAGGATGAAGCAAGACCATTGCTTAAGCCTAAGAGTTCAAGGTTGCTGAGAGCTGTGACGCCACAGCACTCTACCAAGCATGACATAGTGAGATTCTGTATCAAAAAAAAAAAGATATCCATGTGATAAAAACACTTATAAAAACTTCCTTAATGTTCTGAAATAAAAAAACAAAATAAATCTGTTTAATAGCAATTCAATTTGAAATTTTGCCAGGTGTGATTATTAAGCTTATAAAAAGTCTGCTTTTCAAAATCTTTCCTCCTTTTCTAGAAAATTTCATGTTTCTCCATGACTTCTTTTTCCTTTTTTTAAATTTCAGATTAATATGAGGGTACAAATGTTTAGGTTACACTATTTTTTTGTTGTTGTTGTTAGAGACAGAGTCTCACTTTATTGCCCTCAGTAGAGTGCTGTAGCGTCACAGCTTACAGCAACCTCCAACTCCTGGGCTTAGGTGATTCTCTTGCCTCAGCCTCCCAAACAGCTGGGACTACAGGTGTTCGCCACAATACCCAGCTATTTTTTGTTGCACTTTGGCCTGGGCCAAGTTTGAACCCACCACCCTTGGTATATGTAGCCAGTGTCCTACCCACTGAGCCACAGGCACTGCCAGGTTATACTATTTTAATTTCCAAGGTAAAGTTCAAGATGTAGTTGAGCCCTTTACCCAGGGGATTATGCTGTATACCCTTACACTGTGCATATTAGGTCAGAACTTGCCAATCCCCCCCCCTTTCCTCCTCCCCTCCTCACTTAAATATACTTGTGTTTTTTTTTCACATGGGCATGTGGTTGTTCATATATTGGTTTCATATTAGTATTGAGTACCTAGATCCTTGCTTTTCTATTCTTGTGATATTTTATTAAGAGGAATGTGTTTCAACTCCATCCAGGTAAACACAAGAGATGTAAAATCTCCACCCTTCTATGGCTGAATCGTACTCCATGGTATACACATACTACAGTTTGCTAATCCAATTCATTTCCGTGATTTCTTTTTCTTTCTTTTTTTTTTTTTTGAAATGGTGAAAACACAGATAGTATACTGTCATACTTAAATGCTTTTCTTTAAAAACACAATTCCATTCCTTATATATATTACAAAACAGCCTTAAAGGAAGAAGTGACACCTTTCTACAGTACTTAAGATACTCAGTAACAGAAATGAAAAGCAGTCTAACAGAAACAAAGGCAAATCTTCACAGCTATATGATTTCAGCAGCCAAAGCTGGATGATGGACTGAAACATTACTATATAACTGGGACAAAAACATACAATATCACAATACTAAGCAAAAACACTTTACACCCAAAGAAATAAAACAGGTTACAAAATGCATTTCCATGATTTCTTAAGGACATTTCAAAATCACAAGATTTTCCTCCTCTGAATGTTTTCCAGCATTATTTGGTATTTTTAAAAGAACATTTACCATTACAAATCATTATGAGTTTCCATGCCCTGTGATTTCTAATATGGAAATGTCTTTTGCCACTTCCAATCATCATCCTGAGGCTGCTGCTTTTAAAGATATAAGTACAATGCTAGAGTCCTAGTGTTAGGCCTTTATCTGTACAGACTCCCAGGTAGGTACCACTTCTGAGTTTTAACTCACAGCCCAACAAACACTTGCTGTATTAAAACTCATTTTGACTGTTTAAAAAATGATGATGGATCATCCCAACTGCTCAGAATAGTAAGAGCAAAAATGAGCACATTCTAATTCCACGCTATTTTAAATGTCAAGCTATACACAGCTACAGCATGAGTTAATTCCAGAGCTAATTATTATTGATACATAGAAAGTGATTGCCCATTGTTTCATCTTTGAGCCAGTTCTCAATTCACAACAGAACACAACAGAACACTACAGTTTTTTTTTTTTTTTTTTTTAGTGCCACAATTCTTAAAAAGCCACCCTTATCAGACAACGTACTGGCATTAGTAATTCCTTTTTCCTTTTTGAGACAGGGTCTTACTCTGTCTCGCTGGCTAGAGCACAGTGGTATGATTGTAGGTCACTGGAACCTTAAATTCCTAGGCTGGAGCGAGTCTCCTGCCTTGGCCTCCCCAGTAGCTGAAACTACAAGTGCATGTGCCACCATGCCCAGCCAGTTTTTCTATTTTTTGTAGACTCAATCTCCTTAAGCGATCCTCCTGCTTCGGCCTCTCAAAGTGCTAGGATTGCGGCTCGGCACCTATAGCTCAACCGGCTAAGGCGCCAGCCACGTACACCTAAGGTGGCGGGTTCGAATCCCCAGCCTGGACCCGCCAAACAACAATGACGGCTGCAACCAAAAAAAAAATAGCCAGGCGTTGTGGCGGGCGCCTGTGGTCCCAGCTACTTGGGAGGCGGAGGCAGGAGACTCGCTTGAGCTCAGGAGTTGGAGGTTGCTGTGAGCTGTAATGCCATGGCACTCTACCCAGGGGGATAGCTTGAGGCTCTGTCTCAAAAAAAAAAAAAAAAAAAAAAAAGCGCTAGGATTGCAGGCCTAAGCCACCACACCCAGCCTGATTGTCTTTAAAAAAAAAAAAAAAAAGTAGGTAATATCCTAAGTACTTTATGATATGGGAACAAAAGTAGAAAATAAGGCTTAGAGGTTCTACAAGCTTGTTATTCGGTGAAGAACAAAATATTTCACATCGGGTTCCTTTTTCCAAATCTTCCCATAAATATATTAATATTACATTGATTTTATTAAAAAGATAACAAGGTAAATTTCAGGGGATTTGTACAAATTTATTAGTTTAGAAACAAGTTTGAGAGCTTCCTAATTCAGCATACTATCCAACATAAAATGCTACCTCCGGCTCAGCGCCTGTGGCTCAAGTGGCTAAGGCGCCAGCCACATACACCTAAGGTGGCAGGTTCGAATCCCCAGCCCGGGCCCACCAAACAACAATAATGGCTGCAACCAAAAAATCGCCAGGCGTTGTGGCGGGCGCCTGTAGTCCCAGCTGCTTGGGAGGCTGAGGCAGGAGACTCGCTTGAGCCCAGGAGTTGGAGGTTGCTGTGAGCGTGATGCCATGGCACTCTACCCAGGGGGATAGCTTGAGGCTCCGTCTCAAAAAAAAAAAAAAAAATGCTACCTCCTAAAATAATAGGATTGTTAATAGATACTAAACATACCTGAATCAAAGTTAAGAATATTGTACATAAAGGTAATTAATATTGATCAAAAACCAAGTGGTTAAACAGAATAAAGTGGGGACATTAATTTACCAATGTACCTTTAATTCTTCAAGCTTCTCTCTTATTTCAATAAATCCCAGGTGCAGTTTACCCCCAAAATGATCAGCCAATCGTCTGTCATTATCATGAAGACCTAAATAGGCAGAGCAGACTTCACAGACTCGAAGCTTCTGCTGTTGGAAACTGGAAGCTGGCATAGAATTCCGATAAACTTCCTAAACAAAAGTCACAAAAACAATCATCGTATAAAGCCTCATTAAAAGTCATACAACTGAATAAACTACATTATGCTTGGACAAAAATTTTTTCTAACTAATACACAAAAGCATGGCTATTTTGTCATGAACATTATGTGTGCCCCTTTATCCTTATCTTCTATCCTTGGGACCTCTCCACTGGAGATCAAAGGTCATACACCCTACAAAAACTTTTGTCAAGAAACTACCAAAATAATTCTACCATGGTAGACAATACAATTTTTTGAAAAGGTTTTTGCCATACCATATGCTACAATGCTGTTTTCCTATAACTTGTGCTAAACATGAGGTGTAGGCCAGGCACAGTGGCACGCGTCTGTTTTCCTAGTACTTTAAGAGACTGAGGTGGGGGATCTCTTGAGGCCAGGAATTCAAGGTCAGCCTGGGCAACACAGCAAGACCCCAGCTTTAAAAAGAAAGAAAAAAATTAGCCAAGCATGGGTGGCATACGCCTATTGTCCCAGCTACTCAGAACACTGACACAGGAAAATCACTGGAGCATAGGAATTCAAGGTTACAGTGAACTATAATCATGCCACTGTACTCCAGCCTGGGTGACAGAGTAAAACCCTGTCTCTAAAAAAAAAAGTAATGGATTGTAGAATCAAATGGTAATTAAAAAAAAAAAAAAAGTAATGGTGGTGTGTGGTGGCTCCACCTGTAATCCTAGCATTCTAAGAGGCTGAGATTGAGCTCAGCAGTTTGAAGTCAGCCTGAACAACAGTGAGAAAGAAAGAAAAGAAAGGAAGGAAAAAGATTAGCCAAGCATTGTGGCAGGTGCCCATAGTCCCAGCTACTTGGGAGGCTAAGGCAAGAGTTGAGCTCAAGAGTTTGAGGTTGCTGTGAGCTACGATGACAGCACGGCACTCTACCCAGGTAGACAAAGTAAAACTGTCTCAAAAAAAAAAATAAGACAATGAATAAAACGTACCTTAGATTAAGGTGTCTATACTCGTCCATTTTATTTACTAGTTAACTAATGAAATAATAAAAATTGGCCAGTTTGCCTACCCACTGTGCCCTTTCTCTGTACTGATAGATTTCTGGGTTTTGTTTGAGTCAGCAATATGCCCAACTAAAAATACTCTTATTTCCAAGCTTTCTAGTAGCTTTGACTAAGAAAATGTCAGTGGAAATTGCCAGATAGAATCTACAAGAAAAAAAAAATAGAATCTATAGGAAAGTTCTTTAAAAGGCAATCAATAGATTCAAACAAAAAATCACCAACAGCTGATACAACCTGTGGATCAAAAAGTGATGAGAAACATAGTATTTATATAGTCTTAAAAGTATCAGGGCTCGGTGCCTGTGGCTCAAGCGGCTAAGGCGCCAGCCACATACACCTAAGGTGGCAGGTTCGAATCCCCAGCCCGGGCCCGCCAAACAACAATGATGGCTGCAAT